TGACAAAAAAGAGAAAGAGAGAGAGAGAAAGAGAAATGGAAGAGAACAAAGTGACTCGTCTAAAGTTACAATCGAGTCACGTACCTCGCGTTCTTCAGTTCGCGAGTTATGATCCATAGCACACACACACACACACACATTGAGAGATAAAGGATATTCTTTTGAAATATTTTTCAAATATTAACCGTTTTTAACGGCGTGTACTGTGGTGAAATGTGCCACGATATTTGGTCACGATCGTCAATTCGCAACGCGTATAGTTTCGAATGTAACTCGTCGCGAGTCATATCAAAGTTTGATGAAATAAAGCTCGAACGCGATGATCGACATATTTCGACGAAAAAAAAGGAACAACGCGATTGCGAAAATCGACATTACTCGCAGGATAAATGAACGAAACGTTCTATCGCGTTACATGGAACAATCTGACACGGATTTTTTTTAAAAATTCCTAACACTTAATCGGTTAAGATAACAATTTTTTCGTTAATTTTAGTTTAATTTATAATTAATCGATTCTTTTTTATTTTTATATATATATAAATAAAAAAGATATATAATATATATATGTATTAGTAGTATGTATGATACTTTATATATTTAATTTCTGTATTTTTCTTTGAGAAAAATATTTTTTAATGAGATAGAGTAATTTTCTTTTTCATAAAATATTATTTATTTTTATAAAGAATTACACTTTTTAAATAAATATCTCGTTATCTAGTAGTACACTATTTTAACGAATTCATTTACTTTTGTTTATCTCTTTTCTGCTTCCTCTTATGTCAATGTAAACATCGTAGAATGTCAACCTTGTTTAGAAACCCTCAGGTACGAGCGAGATATAACACGATCAATATTTACGATATAAATACTCTCTCTCTCTCTCTCTCCCTCTCTCTCTCTTACACACTTATTCTATACACATACATAGAAAATATCTTCGTACTAACTACAAACATTGAGCTGTCATTTCAAGAAGAGCAATATATGCAACAACCAGAGGAGGTATGAAATACACGATAATTATAACTTCAATTTCAAGAAGATTATTAACATTTTATCTTACATCGTTTTATTAAATAAGATTATAATCTATGTATACGTATATGTCGTATACAAATTTGTAAATAAGATGATCATGTATTATTGTAATTCTTAAATTGCAGTAGTTTAATATAAAGTAAATTTCTGTTTGAAGCATTTTGTTCATAAAATCAAATTGAACGAATATATAATATATGTATATCTCATATTAAATAACAAGATAAGAGAGAAGAAAAAGAATTAAAAAAGAAATAAGAAATATAAAAGAAGAATAGTGTTTGAAACGGTACTATTCTGACATAGACGGAAACAGATGCAAATTCCAAACGCGTTGTTGGAACCTTTTAGAATATTTCAATGTACCTAAGTGAAAGGGAGAAAAAGAAAGAAAGAAAGAGAGAGAAGAAAATAAAAGACGCGTGATTTATCTGACGGATTACGAGAAAAGTTTTCCAATTGCAGATGAAGGAGGAGGACATTGAAAAGCGATAAGTTGGACGTGAGCTTTCGTCGGTTAGGTTTTCGCGTGATCCAAAAGAATCTCAAGGGAGAAGGAATCGATTCTATGCGTGGATCATTTCGTTGATTTTTTTTAAAAAGAAAAAAATATAGAAAAATAATGACGCGGAAATTTATTTCTCCTTCTTTTCCTTGTTTTCTTCCATTTTTTATCATCTGAGATTTTGTTTCTTTTATATTTTTTAATTAATATTCAGTATTTTACTCGATTATTTGAAGAAAAAGATTACAATATTTCAAAGATATTTTTTGTATTTATAATCATAGCATGCATATAAGTAAAAAAATGTTAATAATTAATTTGGCGTTTAGATTAGTGATTTTTATATATTTTATCTATACAAATATTTTTTTCGTTACATAACGTTAGTAACAAATAAAATAATAACGGTAATCAATGTTTGATATTAAAAATATTTTGAAAATTATAATAAAATGTAAAAACTAAAAAATGACCAATAAAAATATCTGTATTTTTATTTTTCAATTAGTATAACAGATTTTTCATACAATCCAAAATAATATCTGTATAATCTTATGATTGAATATTTCAAGAAAAATTGAAAATTCTTTTATCATTCATAAATACTGTAATAATAGTTATTAACTTGATTGATATATATATATCCAAGAAACAAGAAGGTATCTTAGAAAAGTCCTTGAAAAGTCGTTTAGAGAAGGAACAGCTTGATTAGTAGCTACCTCGTGGTGAAATTAATAACCGTTAAAGTTTACAAATTCCTTAAGGCTCGCGAGCGTAAATTGGAAATCCTGAACAAAAGAGCCTATCCTCCTATCCTCACTTTTCCTCTTCCTTCAACCTCCTTCCTCCTTTTCCACAAGCATCTCAAGCATCTCCACTTTACCTCGAACTCGTGCAACATTCGAGAGAAACTTGTATACCTTCTTCGTTTCAACGCGTATCTTACGTTGATGTTCGTAATTAATGCAGCTCGTTACCGCTAACACACACATTCTAAGAGACAAACACACGCAGGAGAAACTATCATCGTAAATTTGAATCAAAATAAAAATTTATCTATATCATTTATTATTGAAGACTCTGATGTGGTGTAGATTACTATTATATATTTCATTTAAACAAGTTTTCTCTTAAATGTAACAACAATATATATAAGTTATGTGTGTATATAGGTACTTAACTAAGATTGTCTCTTTAATTGTAGATTTTGTATAAATCTTTTTAAATTCTTACCCTACGTAACATCTCACATATGTTTTCCCGTCAGAATTAAATCGATTAAATTTCGACTCGTCCATAAAAAATAACGTTTTTTGACACTTTATTTATAATTGTTATTAATAAGTATAAACAGTGTGGTTGAGAGTTTTAAATTGTAACGATTGAATATTTAACGAAGTTTAGATATTTTGTGTTTGGAATATTAATAAAATGAAAAATGTATGTCTACATAATAAAAAAAACACGCTGAACTATAAAATTAAGGTAACATGTTAAAAAAAAAAAAATTATTGTATGAGCCTCATATGTTATAATATAATAAAATAAAATTTCCAGTTGCTTAAGAAGTCCCAATAAAGGGACGAAACGATCCAACTTAGTTAAATTAAGTTCTACTTCTTTTTATGTCCAAGTTCCCTGTGATTCCGTATTAAGAAGTATAAATAAGTTTATTTATAATATAAGTAGAATATATCATATTCAATATTCCACAAACTATTCTACATATTACATTAAATACTAACTCGTTAGATATAAGATAACCTTTGATATCCAACATTTATCCAACATTTGTCCCAATGACAAAACACGAAAATAAAATTCAAACTCTGTTTTCTAATTTTCAGTTAAAACGAACTCTACTCCTACCATCTTTTCAATCTTGAATGTACTTCAACTTCATCTTGGCGATCCTCCCTTCCCCTTTCCCTTTCCCTACAGATTTTCTTCTTCTTCTTCTTGTGGAAAAAGTTTGAGTAGCCGACTCGTGAAAAAGCATCCATGCGAAAGCAAGTACCCCGAAGGGCACCAAGTGAATACGAAGATGCTGTTTCATCTTCCTCTTTCCTTTTTGGAATATTCTCGAGACTTGTGTGTTCGTTTTGGAGCGAACGTGTAAGCCGGTTCAACAGCATGAGAGAGAGAAAAAGGGAAAGAAAGAAAGAAAGAGAGAAAGAAAGAAAGAGAGAGAGAGAGAGAGAGAGAGAGAGAGAGAGAGATAAGGTTTGTTTACAGAAGACCATGGTCTCTATTTAGGATCGGACCGCACACATTGAAGCCAAAAGAGAGAGATAGAAAAAGAGGAATATGAGTGGAGGGGGAAGGAAACGGGAAGGAGAAGGGCAGGGTGTAAAGGGATGGTATAGTATACCTTTCGCAAGCAACGAGATCGTCCCTCGTTTCTTCCGGTTGGCCTCTATCGGACCAACACGTTTAAACTCACGCTGCTCTTTACCAAAACGGAGGGGTGAAAACAATGGGTGAACGTTAAAGGCAATATTAGTTTTTATTTTACCGGGTTTTTTTTCTCTTTCTTTCTTTCTTTCCTTCTTTTTCTATCTTCAATATGTTTCCCTTTTTTTTTTTTATCTCCTAGCCATATTGAATGGCAAGTTGTAGTATGCACGTGTGATATCAGACAAAATGGCACCGAGATCTAATATACGTGTGTTGTCTCTTTTCTTTTTGTTTCTTTTTCTTAGATATACCTTTCTCTTCGTTCCCCTTTTTTTTTTTTTTTGTTTTGTTTTCTTTATCGTATGGGTTACTAATTATTATCGTTAGGGTTTACTAATAATAGGGGGGGGATTTGATTATTCTTGAATTATTAAAAAAATAGCATTGTATATGAATAAAAATGTATTTATCAGTTTGTATTTTGTTTTTGATTTATTATTTAATTATTTTTATTATTCTTATTTCGATATTTCTTTAATTTCATTTAACCGTCCTCTTTTTCTTCACCCTCTGTTTCTCTCGTTTTATTTTCTTTTTTTTATCTTCCAACTATATTGAACGGAAAGTTACACGTGCGATGTCGAATAAAATGGTCGCTAGACCTAATACCTAATGCACGTGCTGACCCTGTATATTTTTTCGACATCCCCTTATAATCTCTTTTATTTCTTTATTATTTTAATTTTCCTTAGAGTTATCAAAAGTTTACTCGCAGTTTACTAAAAATAAAATCTAAATATTGAACTAATGAATTTTTTTTTATAATAAAATATTTATTGTTTAATATTTTTTCGCAATCTAACTAACTCAAACTTTACGTTTAATCAATTACATAAAACTTCACTTGGATTAAATCAAAATATTAATCCGTTTATGATAATTATATTATAATAAAAAAAAAATGTTAAAAATAAACATTAATAAATATGAAAGCATATATGAATAATAATTGAATACTTATAATTAAAAACGTAAAGAGATTAAAGATTTTCAATTCAATTTATTCAAATGAAATACTTTATTTAAAACAAAACAAAAAAGTAACATTCTCTAACTTTTATTGCACAACCCAATAGTATTTAAGTAAATCAAATAGAAAATTAATCATCGAATTTCACCCACACGTGACTACCTTTACCTTTAATTCAATCTTAAACATTTTCGATGCCATGACGAGTTGAAAAATACAAATAATAAGAATGAAGTAATCTATAATCTAATGAAATGTGTCGTATATATTTTAGTATGGTCCTCGTTACTTGGCTTAAGCTCGGACATTTATTCGAGGGCTTTGGTGAACTCAACAAAAGAGAAAGAGATAGAGAAATAGAAATAGAGTAACATAACCGTTTACATTTGCTCTCCTTGAAGGGGAATCGTTGAGAAAGAGAGGAGCAAAAGTGAACAGATTGCTGTGCAATGAACGCGATAAAAGCAAAACCGTCGGTGGTAAACTCGTGCCAACCATTGTATTCCACGTCACGGTTCTCTCTCTCTCTCTCTTTCTCTATTTTTTTTTTTATTTGTGTTGTTCTGTCTCTCTCTCTTGTATTCTTCTTTATTTCCTTCCACGATGTACCTTTACGATTCGATCCGTATGTTCAGAACAGCGTCATTTGGTTGCTTGGTTGCAACGGAACGCGGATGTTCTTCTATTCTGTATATTTATACAGGGTGGCCCAAATTGAAACGACTAAACAACAAGAAACAGAAATCTATATTAATAAGAAGAATAAATTGTTATGTTAAGAGTTACGTTAACAGTTATATTAGGAAATATTTTATTACTTTAGACATATATGTATAACAATATAATAATAATAATGGTATACAAATATATATGAGAAATTGATTAAAAAACTAATCCGAATGATAGTCTCGCGTTCGATAGATTATTTGATTAATTTTTATATGATCTAGATGAAATATGATTTTTGTTCGTTACAATCGGACTACATGTTTTTACGTTTTTTCATTTTGTAATTTCTATTTTCCGAACAGAAAGGGGAGTTTACGGTAGTCGTTTATAACCTTTTTCTTTTTTCTTTTTTCTCCTCTCTTCTTTTTTTTTTTTTTGATGAATTTCGATTAAAATATGACATTTTCAGGGAACGAATGTATTCGCGTAAAGTTCAATCGCATTGAAATTAATTGACCAACGAGAAACAACGGACAACAACGTTGCTCAACCTATACACTTTTGTATTTTTAAAGACATTCATACATTGGTGTTACAATGCGTTGGAACAAAATGGATCGACGTAATGCATATCGTTCGATGGTTATTGTACCGCCGTTAGCCATTACTTCCAATCGAGACACAAATTGGACCCCGAGTACTCTCGAATTGTGGCGTGCCGTAAATTCGTGACCTTCGCTCTCGGCAATCAATCCTAGAGCATCTAGATAAATATATTTACCTCATCCGCTGGAAATCAAATGTTGAAGAATAATAAAGTGTATACTGAATGTATTCTAAATACATATCAAAAATTCAAAGGGGTAGTATATTTACAAGATAAAATTAGAAAAAAATATGCAATGTTGTTTTAGATTTAGGGATAATTCAAGATTTCAAAGTACTCAACTCTTGTCTCAACAAAAATTGTTTCACGTCTTATGTAACACACCTTGATTTTATTTAATATTTTCAAATAATGTTCATTGTCCAGAAGGCAGAAGAAAATTGTTTGCAATTGGTATCTCAGTATTAATGGTAAACATTGACAGTAGTATTATAAAATCGAGTGTACATGATTTTGTATGTTTTTATTAAAAGTATCAAAACTCATAAGCGTATAAAAATAAAAAGTAATTCCTCTTGAAATAAATAATTCATCAATAAATTGATAGAAGGTTTTATATGGGTTTCTTATACGATAATTTATATCTGCAATTGAAGTAGTTTGAATGCTTGTGAGTCTGCAACCTTTAAGTCCAACTTCCATACCATAGATTATCGATCAAGGTATCTTGATCGATTTAAGCTTGATAAATATCACTCGATACTATTTAGTCGAGATTGCATTAACAGTTCGTTCGTGAAACATTTGATATTATCCGGTTAGTGTAACATTCATCGACGAGTGGGTGAACTATATGATTTTATATCGAGAAATAAGCGTGGGAGTAAAAAAGAATAAAAATAATAAAGTTGTGATGACAAATGTGCTTACTCGATATATCTTTATACAGATACTTTTATATTCATATACATTGTTATTGAAGAAAAATTAAATACTATGACATATATTTGATTTATCAATAATTTTCACTATAATCGTATTAAATCAATTTTCACATGATATAATTATAATTATATTATATTAATATAACTAATAATTATTAATGCTTGATACGTTTTTTGTTTTTTTTTTTTCATTTCTTGAAAAAAGTATTCATCACTAATGGTAGAAAAACATAAAAGAATTACATAAAATATATGTATGAAATATTAATATTATATATTATTTAAGTATTATACATATATATGAGTATGCATACCTATGTATATAAATATCAAATATTTGTATGTAAAGATAAATTTTTTACATTCGTGCAAGTATTTATATATTTATATACATATGTTGTTCGTATATAGAAACGGGGATAAAACGAGTAACATTCGAAAAGCCGCGAGTATCATCCTTAGGGAATTAAAATACCCGTGAGAAGGGTTAACGCGTCGCGTTTCGTATTTTGTACGATAAATCACAAAAGGATTTAATCAGTAACATCATAGGGTGGGTGGGAGTAAAAAGCGTGCGAGAACGGACGTTTCGTTTTGTTGTATATTGCTGTATCTCACTATCTTTCTTTCTCATATATATATACATGTCTAAACATTTACGCATACACACGCGTATTTACAAATTTATGTATACGCATATGTTTATACAGATCTGCATATACATCCTCCTACTCCACACACGCACACACACACAGGTCACACAGAAACATGTTTATAAATATTTTCTATACGTACAAGCATATACATGTACATACACATTTTCTATGTACGTATATACAGACATGTACTATACATAAATGTGCACAGATGTACAACTCTCGTAGTATATAGAGAAGTAAATACATAAATACATAAATATATCGTTGTCTAGTGATATGCATTTTCTATGAACATTCGAGACACTCCATTACTCGTTTGCGCATCATCGCACGTTGTTCTAGGTGATGTTTCATTGGAAATGCGATTTCACGTTAAATACACGTGTTACTGCTTGTTAATAATCTCCTAGATTAAATTATCTAATTCTTTCTCTCTCTATCTCTCTATCATTCTATATCTCTATCTTTATTCACTGAATAATTTATCTAGATGTAACTAGCAGTTTATCTCTTTTCGAATCAAATCGATTATCGAATAATTTTCTCATCAATCGTATATAATTATATCGTTGTTCTATAAATATTGAAAATAAAAAAAGAAAAATAGAAATTTAAAGATAAAGTAAAAAGTCCCTTAAAAAAATAGAGAAACTTCCTAACTTCCTTACCTTTTTCCATTAGATCGTGACTTTTTCTCTAGTAAACAACGAAGCTCGCAATCCGAACGTGAATTATCGAGAAATACGAGGGACTGCTCGTTAACTCTATGAAATTTAATTAAGTCTCACCACGGCACGTAACTCAATTTGCAACAAGTCACGAAGAAGGAGTAAAAGTAGAAGAAGAAGAATCTGAGTACAAATAAGAGAGAGAGAGAGAGAGAAATAGAAAATGAATTAGAAAGGAAAATGGTAGGAGAGAACACTTAACAACGAAACAAAGTTAATTCGCGAATCGTACATTACTATATCTGTCTCTCTTTTACTCACATTTTTCGATAGACAGAAATACGGGTCCACTGTAAAATCTCTCACAACAGGGGGTAACTCTTCAACCTCCTCCAATATTCACCCCTATATTTCTTCCCCAACCTACTACTCCCTTTACGAAGGGTGATACTTGAACGCTCGTTTCTTCAACGTTACGCCAATTCTTGATGAGAGAACACATGCGTCATTCCTACTTTATCTATCTTTATCTTCTATTTCTTTCCCATTCCTTCCTCCATCTCATCCCCACCCCCTTCTTTATTTATATCTCTCTTTTTCTCGTTATAAGATAGGGGATAGCGAAAAATTGGAGCACATTTGGTACTCGGAAACACATCGAAGTATTCTTCACTGTGAACCCTTGATATTCTGTAGACATATGGGGGTGGGAATGGTAGATTTGGAAGTGTTAGGGGACTTCACACCTATATTACTAGTTTTCTTTTTCTATTTTATTCTCACTTGATATCCAATTTACTATTACGGTTACTATTAACAATTTTCGAACACTACGGTTTTGCAGGTTGCTCAACATTTTCTATTTTTTGACGTTCTTGATGAATTCAAATTTTCTCGAGGCACTCTTATTGTCAGTACAAATCTAACAAATTCGTGTGTTTTTTAATTAATTTATTTTTTTCGTTATTTGTTGATGCTATAGCAATGAGTATAGTGTATATAAATTTTATAGTACATCCTACAAAATTATTTTTAATTTTCTAACCCATTTCGTATAATAAATTATTAAAGAAACTGTTTTGTTTTTATTTTCCAATTATTTTTTATACATACACACACACAAAAATTATTGATTTACTAAATGAAATAAAACTGTCCTAATACAAAACACAAACATAATCTCACTTAAACTTGCAAAGTAGTCACGTGTCTTGATCAAATCCCGCCATATTTACCGATCAGAACCATTTCCATTTAGTTAGAATTAATAATTCTATACCGTACACATTACCTACTGAAAAATAAATCGAAACTTTGATAGTTGTAGGGTACTTTTTAATATCCTTCTACTTCCCTTGTTGTATCAATAAACTTAACGTACTAAAAGCATGGTAAATATTAAAAAGAAGAAGTGGAAGAGAAAAAGAGGTAACCAGTGGTAAAGGAGAATCTCTTTTAAATGGAAAAGTTTATTCCCATCGAACAAAGACAAACCCCCTCCCATCCCTTCCCTTCCCACCCCCACCCCACCCCATCAAAGTATAATACTTTAAGTGTATCGTGAAGTGCGAAGTTGATTGAAGATGAAAAGTAATGAAATGGTAGAACGTGAAGATGAAAATAATCGTTCAAACTCTTGATGTGATACGCGTGAACGATCCTTAAAAAAAATAATATTGCTATTCTATCGTTTCGTGTATTGTTAAGCATAGAAAAATAAAAATAGAAAAAAAAAAGAAAGAAATGAAGAGAAAAAAGAGAAGAAAAAAAAAGAGGGATGATTTCTCAGTGCTCGGTGGTAACAACAGAGTAAAGATACGGCCCTGATCCGTTGCTCGTGGTAAGTCAAGGGTTTCCTTTCGAAGGATGGAAGAACGACGGGGCTTGAATTTTGTTGGCGTACAACTTGAAACTCAATCTAACGGGACTCCTTCTTTACTCCTTTTTCGTTCTTATACTTTATCTCATTCTTTCTTGTATTTTCTGTCTGTCTGTCCCTCTCTTTCTCTCTCTTATACAATCAGTTGTAGTACCAACTTATCCTTCTTCTTTATTCCTCTTTATCCTATTGGAAGCTCGGTCTCTCACCGACTTTTGTTCTTAGTCAAGGATAGAAACGATACCTTTATTTCTTTTTTTTTTTCTTTTTCTATATCTTTCTTTTCCCTTTTTTTAT